CCAAGAGTCTCTGGGGTCCTTCCCTGATCACTCAGTTTGTAACTCTTCTAGGGACTCGGACACATCTCTCGAACAGAGTGTCGATGTGTCTGAATGTGTTTACGGAGCAATTTATGGGTCACTAGCCCCGGCCAACGCCTAAAGTGGGAAAGGTAACATTACCACTTCAGCGCGAGTAAGAGCGGCTAAAACTCCTACTGGCCCGAGGCGTTTCCCTGCGAAGTACTCACAGAAGTACTGCCAGGGTTCCATGATAAGCCCACCACTGTTGGAGAGGCTACCTTCGTAACGACTTTCTTGCGTCGGCACGTTCTACACGTGTGGCCATAGTTGCCAAAGTTCATGCATGTGCCCCTAGCAACTCGGTCCCACCACACCTCGTAATCCCAACCAAGTTTTACCCATGCGGGCGTTCCTTGGTCGCACTGATCCTTGGACCGGCCTACCTTCTGCTTCCCGCTCTCCCTAGCCTTTTCCTTGATAGGTGCCACGACTCCCCCATCCGAAGTCTCGTTGGCCCAATCATGCTCTGTCTCATCCCCAAGGTCTAAGAAATCGTCAATTTCAATTGCCTGACCATCATGGCCGACGAACATTAGTTAACCCTTGTTCTTCCAATCTTAAGGAAGCTTCTTTGTCCTCCCATCCGAAGGTCCCTAATGCGCAGACCCAAGCTTAGCCTTTAGATCTAAGGCTTTCTTGCTAAAAGTAGTGAAGCTATGTTGGTCAATGTAGGCCTCGTCCATCGGCTTATTCTTAATGCATGTCCGCAGACATCTCAGATAATATGTGAGTACTTGCGGGTCAAAACGCACGCCAGGTACTACGATCAAACGTTCTACGACATTTGTGACTTCGCGTACATTCTTGTACCTCTTGGCACAAAGATTGTTAATCGCGTCGGTGGCCTTCTGAGCCCCTTGAGGGTCATGCCACCTCTTGTACACAGTCCGTACGAAGTCTTCCAATGTCTGGGCCTGATCCCAGGCATTCAAGTTTTGACCATAACCCTGTTGCTGCACTAACCCATTCAACCAATGCGTTGTCGATCCTTATAAAAAGTAGGCAGCAACTATAACTTCCTGCCATGGCCTGGTGAGCTTGTGTCTCACATAAGTGGGCACAGTCCTCACCCAGGTGTCTAGGTCCTCGTCCTTCTTCCTGTCGCCAGAGAAGGGCTTAGGACTCACTGAGGGACCCGCAACCGAAGGGGGAGCTACAACAAACTGAGGCTGCCTCATCATTGAACGAGGAACCCGCAGTGCAGCCATAATTTGCTTCTCGCCTGCCACTAGTTCAGCCAGCACCTCCTGCTGGACAACCTGCGTTTCTGCCACGCAAAGAAGCGAGTTTCGCAACGCTTGCATAGCAGGGTTAAGTGCTGACTCATCTAATGCTTCTAATTTGCTTAGCTCCTGTCTTCTGCTGCCTAATCTAGCTTTCCTCAATATAGCTCTTTGTCTCCTCTCTGCTGCCTCATCTAACTACCACTGCAGCTCATCCTAAAGTTCTTCTGCTTGGAGGATCTCGTAATCCTCTGGTGTGAGTTGAGTCTGTTGGCTGACTTGCAAGCCAACAGTCTGAATAACGGAAACCTAAGAGATACTCTGACTGACTCGTGACGAAGTGGCCTGAGAAGAGGCCTGTGACATGGTCGAGGAGTTAGCCATAGTCGCACCTGTGCGAGCTATATTCCTACCCTGGCGTTGGCCTCAGCATCCCTCTCCCTCTGCAATGTCGCCCCTTCTCTAGCTTCTCTCCGCAGCCTCCTTCTGTGCTAGCTATATTCCTAGCCCTGGCGCTGGCCTCAGCATCCCTCTCCCTCCGCAATGTCGCCTTCTCTCTAGCTTCTCTCCGCAGCCTCCTTTCCTCTCCTGGACCTAACTCTAGGAAGGTCAAAGGTCGACAGAGAGCAGTTCTTCGAGTAATCATAAGGTCTTCCACTAATTCCTCCTGCTCACAGCTAGCATCTTCACTCATGAGCTATAGTGGTGTGATCTAGACTAGAATCCACACTGAATCCTACCTCAGCGTGACACCCAACCGAGTATGATTAACAACTATTTTCGGTCGGCCTGGAGAGAGACAGTTTAGTGGTCAATGACAATTTATGTCAGATTCTACAGGTAACACTAGTTCTATTTTTAGATTACTCTAATACAGAATGCAATGCAGCAAGGAATGCACTATTCTATCTGCAGCTGTCTGTCAGTTGTTAACAAATCCGTACCTGCGTAGCACCGTGTTCGCGTTCGGAGGCGAACACGAACATGTTCGCCCGAACGCGAACAAGCGCCCAAAACCTTCCGCACGCGAACATAAAAAAAAAAAAAAAAGTTTTCAGAAAAATCTGAAAAAAATATATGTATGTAAAATATTAATACAAGCAACTTTTGCCTTGGAGTCATGTTCAAATTCGTAGCCAATCATGAGTTAAAAATCAAAAACCAGTTTTTTTTTGTTTTTTTTTTTTACGAAAACAAAATTACGTTCGCCCGAACATGTTTGTGAGCTGTTCGCACGAACGTGAAGGGGCGCGAACACTTTTACCGTGCTACGCAGGTCCGTACAACTAAATAATAAAAAATAAAACAGTGTCACCTGCAGAGATGTATGCTGGATGGAATATTTTCCTAATTATTACTTCTGCGAACAGTCACCGGAATCTCCCCTTCCCCCTGTATCCTTCTTGATTGGTCACTTTGTGTCAACGCCCTGAGCATCTGGTTGAGCGGCGTGTCTGGACGTGTGCCATCCGGCCCACCCCTGTGACCCAAGTCTATACCGCACCTGCCAGCCCCTGCACCGTATTTATCCTCGCATGCAACGAGCCTTACACCAGGTTTGATCTGGCTGATCAAGAGGTAGTTTAAGGACAGCCCCCAAGGTCCTCAGGAATTATTTAACGTTGCAGACAGGACGACGATCACAGCCAGGGTTCAACACCGGAACCCACCAGAAATATTTAAAGACGGTCTGGTAAGCGTCTGTTCAAAGGGCTGGCATGCCCTGCATGACCTCTATTGCGCGGCAGCAGAACCAAGGAATTGCGGCAAAGCATGCATGTACTAGTCCCAGCGGGTTGGCATGGTGACCGTGACCCGAGTGCTTCGTCCAGGGCCCTTCAGAGGCTTCGCCCGTCTCCCACCAACTTGCTGCCCAGGAAGAATGTCGACTCTCAAGGTTGAGCACTAATGTCCAATTGCAATTCTGCGACAAAGGGGCTCGCTCGATTACAGAACACTTAACAAAGTTTAGATGTATCTGGAGCTCGTTGCAATGATCCCTGTAAGATCCAACTCAAAATACCACATGCAAATTGGGAGCATTCAGATAAAGAACTCACAAGCTTGGGCTATGGCCATGAACAGAGTCAATTCGAAATTCCACTACAATTAAAAAGTTCGGGACTGGGCAGTCTCAACCGCTGCAATACACTCCGGTAAGTACCCGACTTTCTCCCGGGCCCTTCAGAGGCTTCGCCCGTCTCCCACCAACTTGCTGCCCAGGAAGAATGTCGACTCTCAAGGTTGAGCACTACTGTCCAATTGCAATTCTGCGACAAAGGGGCTCGCTCGATTACAGAACACTTGACAAAGTTTAGATGTATCTGGAGCTCATTGCAATGATCCCCGTAAGATCCAACTCAAAATACCACATGCAAATTGGGAGCATTCAGATAAAGAACTCGCAAGTTTGGGCTATGGCCATGAACAGAGCCAATTCGAAATTCCATTCAAAGTACAAATAATATACAATTAAAAAGTTCGGGACTGGGCGGTCTCAACCGCTGCAACACACTCCGGTAAGTACCCGACTTTCTCCCCCTCCGATCTGGTTCTTCACTCCCTCTCTTACTCTCTATCTCTCCACTCACATCTCTGCACTGTTCATCCTGCGATGCTCCCTGCTACTGTTCCTCCCTATACAATGTCCTGGATCTACCCTGAATGCCTCTGCGGTGTGCCTCACAACAACGGGCGGCTATGGCCACCTCCCCCTCTCCTGACTATGGTGGTCTGTCGCAGCCAGGGCGCTGGTCTTCTTCCTCCCTTCAGCGCACTTCTTCGTCCAGGTCGCTAGTCCGCACAAGCTCCAACAGCTTCCACAAATTTGCGAAATGACAACTGACTRTCCTCCGGCACTGTAGCCCAMAATATMTAGTTGAAGTGGGCTGKGTGTGCCWGSTTCAATCGGTACTGGCCTCCTTCMGCCTCWGCCTTGCCAAGTTGCTATTTTGGGAAAGTTCCCAACTTCCGTTGGTAGKCTGCTGCAAATTTTGKACTTYGGGGACTGGCATGCTCCTACAGGTACTGTRMWCACTGACCTGCGACKCCTACACCTACAGACCCTAAGATTCAGCTACCGGTAGGGTTTGGGGACTGCAATAATTGGGGACCCTGGAGCAGGGTCTGAGAAAATTTGCAGTGTGAATCCATTCATCATCATCGCCCGATGCAATCAAAATGTTGGACTACTCCAAATGCATCTGCTCCAGAAAGATGTCGAAATGCATGTAGAGGGTTGAGTACAGGAGCCAGGCCGAGGCCGAGGCCCAAACACATACTGTTGGAACATCCAGCCCTCTCTTTCAAACTTCTAACACAGGTCCACATTTACAAAGACAGGAGCCACATCTCAATTGAATTGTTGGAGTCTCAGACGCATGAATACACTTCAACAAATTACTTCAACGTATTGTCACATCTATCAACTACAAGAGCGCACTTGAGGAGATGACATGAGGCACACTGAAACCGTTCTTTTGCCTTTTTCTCTGCAGTTCTTTCTCCGCTTGCTTTCGTTTGCTTCCTTTACCCCTATTCTTTTATTTCTTCTTTCCGTTCTACCTTTATTGCCTCTCACTTACAACGCGTGCTGCATTAATGTAGTTCAGTGCCAACTTCCTGCATCCCCGTGTGTCGTAACAGCCAGGAAGGGCAAACGGAGAGGGGATACAGATAAAGGGGTCGATGACAAAACCTTTGGATAGGACGCACCTGGATTGAAGTAAGATGGAGCCTCTCCTTCTCTCATCTGCTGGCCCTTGACTCCATAAAAGAGCATTGGGAAATCCCTCCCAGTGAGCTCATCCCATTCGGCTGGTGGTTCCACCTCCTCCTCCTGGTAATCAGAAGCCACAGGCAGCAGAGCAATGTGCGTGAGTTCTCCCAAGATATCCTCTCTCCCTCTCTTGACCATCCATTCGTCCAAGAAATCAAGAATTTATTTAGTATTATAGATGCATGCACATACCCATCTGGCAGCCCCTCACTTCTCTCTCCCCTGAATGCATGGGTAAACGAAAACTCACCAGCTCTGCCATTTTTCCTGAGACTACATTCTTCCCCCGAATATAACGCATTTGCGTTCAAACCATTTGTATTCCCCATGTGCTGGGAACATCTCTTTTGAAGTGTCCGCCCACATACTTATCCAGTGAATGGTTCTACACGGGCATTGGGAAAGGACAAAGCACGTTCCGTCGCAGTGCTGAATTACTGACCTGTGCGGCAGAGATGAGCTCATCCTCATAGAACATGCGGGACGGGAGCTCCAGCAGCTGGAGAGTAACAAAAATGGAAAAAAAAAAGGTTAGAAAGATTACAAGAAACCTTTAAGAAACTTTAAGCAACTTTAAGAACTTTAAGAAAGAGCATTTATAATTGCCAACAACAAGGCAAAGAAATAGTGCCAAGAAAACGATTCACAGAAGAACCAATGCCACATTCAGTCATGCATGTACGCAAACTCAGAAGCAGGAGAAGCCTCTCATGATTTCGAGCCTACACTGAGCAAGACAGGGATCATAGTCTGTCGAAATTTGAAAAACAGACTATGGGGAACACTCGCTAAGTGACAGGAAAGTGTTCTCTCCTCGTAGTCTAAAGGCAAATGCGGGGTGGCCTTGTTTCTCTACTCAAGTGCAGTGTAGAAAGAACATGCAAGACTGGTGGATTGCACACAACCAACCAAGGGAGTTAAGGGTAAGGGAAAATAAGGACAAGAAGAGAAAAGTATAGGCAGCAAGGGCATGACAGAGAAAAGCAAAGGACGGCCGTGTATACTACCACCGGGTGCAAAGCTCCGGTGAACATCTACACTGAGCAACACAGGGAGCATATACTAATTGAAATGTCAGCACAAACATTGCGGGACGAACTCGAGCAAGTGACAGGAAAGTATTTTACTATTTTGAATTTTTCTTATTTGTCCAAGTCGGATGCAGGGTGCGTGAACAAATTGCATCAGTTTTTGTTTTGAGCTAGGCCCGTCGGCCAATCCCAAGTGTCTAAGCTTGGCAAGCTACACAACACAGTGGGAAAAGGGCCAAAAGGCATCCATACGTTGAAAATGAAGATGAGGATGAAGATGAAGATAAGGCACTTGCTTAGCTCAGGGGAAAGGTCAAGAAAAAGCCAAGTAGAGCCAACAACGCCTCTTCTAGTTGATTATAGATGCTAGCTAGGCGCACAACCTGGATGATGACACGTGTACCGCTGACTTGGGCAGACGGAAACATGGCGCCAGAGATTGAGAGTCTAACTGGAACTGGGGCTTCGCAGTGGACTGCATACCAGACACGAGGAGGAAGGGACGAAGGCTGAACTTTGAATTGAGATGGACATAGGAGAAGTTGAAGAACAGAGAGCGATGGTAGATGGAAAATACCACACACAGCAGTTCCATATACACGATGAAAACGAGGAAAAGGTTCTCGGGGAAGCAGGGGGTGCACGGCATTGTCGGACCTTTTTATTGGCACGATAATTACGGAGCAGCTTTGTCATTCGTGGATTCCCACTATGATTTGCAGCACTCGTCTTCATGAACCTCTCCAACATGGACTCTGCCAAACCATAGGATGCTGCAAGCTGAGAATGTACCTGTTGTTTTACACAAATCCACAACCAAACAACAAACCCAGCCCCTGTGTTAGGGCTCAATCTCCGTAGATGACGAGTGACAGTGACAGTGACCATGGACAGTTCTACATCTCGCCGTCAGGCCAGGGTCAATGCAAGTGGTTACCAGAGGCCATCTGCATAGGCTTGCCAAACCGGAAACAATAGAATGACAATTACAATGGCGATGATGACGACTTTTATGCTTGATGATAATTGGTGACCGATGACAATGATTGATCATTAATGATGAGGATCGATTACGCACTTGTAAAAGAATGACAACGACAATGGCGATGATGACGACTTTTATGCTTGATGATAATTGGGTGACTGGCGACAACGATTGATCATCAATGATGAGGATTGATGATGCTTATTGATGATGATGATGGACATCGATGAGGATGTGACAATCCTGTCATCTCCCAGACCTCAGTTCACAGACTTCTCCCAATACCACAACAACACAAAAGAATAACAGAAAAGGAGGAGGACGCATGCAATCTTCCCTACACCACAATTCTTTCTTCTCTGTCCGTGGTTTGGCCGTTTCATGGTTTCACTCTTGATTCCTCTCTTAGCTCCTCCTTTACTTGCCAGTTGCGTACAAGGCTCGCCACATTGATGTATTGAGTGCAAGCTGCCCAAATATCTCTGTATCATAATGGCCCACTTGCAATCTATGAAGAGGAGGCAGAGTACAATGGGGAAGTAGGGAGGTAGCGTGGAACATGTACATAACGATGTCTGTTCTATTAATGATGCTCATTCGTCTGCATTTAGCAGTTCTACATGAGGGGAGAGAGGAGAGAGAAGGGGAGAGGGAGGGAGAAGGAGGGACGAGTGTGTTTGTCAGTTTTCCCATCAATTTGGATCATTTCTCAATGTATGCGTTATCCTTGTCCATGTCAATCTTTCCTGTCATGTAACTACTGTTCCAATTTTAACAGATAATAAGATGCTGATCTTCTGAACAAATCTGTCCTTCGCGACATAGGTTAAAATTGGAACGATACAGAGAAACGAGATTAGCATGGGCCCTGAACAAGGATGACATGTGTAAATCCAGAAATGCTCAAAATTTAATTAAAATTTTAAAATTTAAAAATTAAAAATAATAATAATCTAACACCTTGCACGTCAGAAATATACAGTGCTACCATGAAAACTGTGAAACTGGATTAGCAACGCTGACAAATACGTACGACCTTTAAATCGTCACAAGCTATTTAGAACTCGAAACTTTTTTTCAAAAAAATTGGTCCATTGGCTAGGGAGATATCCTGTCCGCCCGGGTCCCGACGCCACGCCCGGTTTGGCAACCGGGCAACTGGCAGGTCGGGACCCCCGGTCGGGCCCCCAGTCACAATTTGCGCCAACCTAAATTTTATTTTTTTGTCGATTTCGGGGCTGGGTGATCGCAGCGGCCTCGCGGAATCCCTGGGCCGAAAAAAAAAAAGTGGGGAGTCTCTAGTAGACTCTCTACCGGCCACTGGAAGGCATAACAAATCCTGCGATTTCTGACTGTCGACCTGACAGGGGGTCCTGACCTGCCGGTCGCCCGGTTGCCAACCCGGGTGTGGCGTCGGGACCCGGGCGCACAGGATATCTCCCTAGCCAAAGGACCATTTTTTTGGAAAAAAAAGTTTCAAGTTCTAAATAGCTTGTGACGATTTAAAGGTCGTACGTATTTGTCAGCGTTGCTAATCCAGTTTCACAGTTTTCACGGTAGCACTGTATATTTCTGACGTCACGCATTTTCAAACCGTTTGCCCACGCGATTTCGCGTGGGGGCAGATCCCGAATGCCCCTGCGAAATCGCGGGCAAAGTGTCCTTTCCTCCATTGTTTGGCTGGCCCAGCTGGGCCGCTGTGCCCTGCCACTGTGCCCTTCCGCAGCCCGCCATCGCCTTCCCGCAGCCCACAAGATAAGTCGTCCTTTTCTTCTTCTTCTTCCTATTCTTCTTCTTGGTCGTGTGTGTGTGTGTGTGTGTGTGTGTGTGTGTGTGTGTGTGTGTGTGTGCGTGTGTGTGTGTGTGTGTGTGTGTGTGTGTGTGTGTGCGCGCGTGTGTGTGTGTGTGTTTTATTTTTAAAAAAAACAGACTCTCTCTCTTATTCCCTTCACAAATCAACACAAGCCATCAATAACGAAAAAGTATAGATAGGCAATATAATAGAAAATGCAAGGTTGGCCACGTTTGTGTGGTTCAGCACCAAGTGCCCACACTGTGTGTTGTCATATTCACTGTACGCTCAAAAAAAGCATGACTGTACCAGACTGTTTCGTCGGACTTTCACCAACTCATCAGGAGGTTGAACCCCGACAGTCTGCCCAGGATGCATTTGACTGATGGATAAGGACTCACCACATCACCCAGAGTTAGCGATACCCCTGAGAAAAGTGAAAACTTTACTCAAACCAACCTTGCAATCCTAGCAGACTGTGTGTGTGTGTGTGTGTGTGTGTGTGTGGGAAAGAGAGAGAGAGGTCGCTGAACCTCGCTGCCTGTTCAGGCGACTTCCGAATGGCCACCGGCACCCCCTCTCCCTCCTTCTTCTTCTTCTTCTTCTTCTTCTTCTTCTTCTTCTTCTTCATCATACCTTCTTCTTCTACTTCTTCGTCATTCAGTTTTCTTCAACTTGTTCTTCTCATATCTTCTACTTCTACTTCTTCTTCATCATATTTTCTTCTTCTTCTTCTTCACATATTCTTTTTCTTCTTCGACATTTCTTCTTCTAGAGAGGACTCCCGACTCCGAAGGTTGCCGCGCGTGGCAAAAAAAATCAAAACAATTGTGACTAATGCGTGCGGCGATTCCCGACACCCACAGTCTGCACACGGCGAATCCCAACACGCAAGGTCTGCGCGGGGCAAGTGGTATCTGGCTGGCCGCACACACACACACACACACACACACACACACACACACACACACACACACACACACACACACACACACACACGGCCTCCTTCCTCCACAGTAGGCCCCTGCCGCACAATCGCCGTCGCCACATCCCTCCCTCCCCCCCCCGAGATCCTGACATCCCCAAAATTTGAAATGACCCCGGATTCTGGCTCATCTCCCTATGCGCATAACAAGGCTATTTTTTTTACACGGCCGGTGACCTGATCGTCACACCTGCCCGGGCATGACGCCCGGGCGACCAGCCGGTCGTCGGAATCTTCCTAGTCCATTGGACTTTTTTTTTTCCTTTTTCGTTTCCCTGCTTACGGCACCGCCCATTTCTCAATTTCTGTGTGTCATCCATGGTAATATTCTCTGTATAATTCCTATTTTAACAGATGTCCCGATAAACACAGAACTCGAAAGAATTGAAGCCTATATTACAGACTTCATGAGAACAAAAAGGGTTTAGCAAGTTTGCATGACAATGACAACAAACAGCAGTTCTGTTTGGGACATACCACTGGGCCCAGTTGCTGAGGGTCTCCACAAAGTAACAGCTTTGTGTTCTTGTCCGCCAGAGCGAAAGGAATCAGTGTTTCTGGGATCAAGGCCTGTTTCATATGGAACGCAATGGAACAGTAACTTTGTCAGACTCGGCGCCATCCATGGACGCTGCACAATAATAACACCTACCCCCACTCAATTTTTCTCTCTTTTTCACTCTCAATCTACCTCTCTCCTACTCCGAGGACTTCAATCTCCATCAGATTTCCTCGCACCTCCTGCAAATTCACGTGCGCGGTTACAAGTACAAATTATTACGAAGTTATACAAACCATATACCATAAATACTATCATAAAATGTATACATCATTTCGCCAGATCTCTCGTCGATGCACTCGAGGGAACGCCCATGAATGGCAATAGCCACGAATTGCATTTCTTTAGAGCTTCATAGAGTCTTGTGATATTGTAAAAGCCAGTTCGCACGAAAAGGTTCAAAAAGCCAATAATTATCAGACAAGAAAAGCACTACAACAATGGATGAACTTGCCAGCACGCAATGAACACACACCACCAACCTGGCCAGCTTCATCAATCAGAATGTGTGAAAATGATCCCACAGACTCGGAGAGAGGTGGTTCCTGTAGCATTGCTGCCGCTCCACACGTGCACACGATTATACGGAAGCATGATGGATCCACTTCCACATCAAACATCTCAAACTCCTTGTTGTAACAGCAGAAACTGCAAGACAGTGGCAAAGTGGTTTAGCTCAAGGTCGAGGCACCAGGCACCAGTGTGAGTCAGAGAACAGTTATGGGTGTAGAAAGAAGCAGAGCCTTGATGATACAAAGTGTTCCCGACATAGAATCCCCCTCGACAGGAAGCAGACGCCGCTTTCACATTCAGCTCTTCATCTTACCACCCTCTTAAACCACCAGTACATGGTCCCAGGCAACTGGAGAACCTGTTTTGAGCCTCTCTGAAAATTCAGGAGGCCGAGTGCCGGCGTACATAAAATGAATCAGTGGCGGGCGGCCTCCGAAAGGGGCCTGCAACAGATAGCTCGCATGTACTGTTGCTTTCAGAAATTCAGAGTCAGCTTGACACAGTCAGGCACCAAACTGAGCAGATCCGTGTTCCAATGGCATAATGCAGACTTAGCTCGATTGTACATCTAATACAGGGCGACAGGAAAGACGTACAGAGTCAAAGCAAGCAGAGAAAACTCCCACAGTTTTAAACAATTTGAATACAACCTCATCATGTGGGACCATACACCACTTTCACAAACGCCATAGGCTATAGTGGCTCTGCACACTCACTGGTGAGCACACGAGACACAAGAAGAGTTGGATCAGCACGAGCCGCAGCCTAGCAACGACCAGGGGCCATGTGTTATGATTCTGGTTGTTTGTTGTCTGAAGACCAACACTCGCACACATAGACTTCCAGGTATGCCCATACATACACAGAAGGAAGGGGAGAGGATAGGAGTATCACACTGCACAGGGAGAGATAAACACAGCGGAAGACTTGACCATGCGATATGACAGGGTACACTGAAAGTGCAGTTCACTCCACGCAATCCTCACAACCAGTCGTAAAGAAAAGCCGAGTAGATCACATCCAGGAAACAAAGAAACGATGATAGTCCAAACCCAGTATCACACTGTTTATTAAACTCAGAGTCTCGAATTGTCAGGATAACCTCAGAACTACAGTGCGCTGCTCAGAAGTGAGCAGCGCCTCACTCCCCAACCCTGAGTAACCACTCGTAACACCCCTGAGCCCCTGAAACATCAAGCGCCAAACACGTACTGCCTCCAGAGGACAGCACCCCCCTGAAACAGGCCTCTGAGGCCAAGCGCCACTCAGAGGATGAAGAAGAAAACCAGTGCCACAGTATCTGTTGATGACGAAATGTCGAAAGACTTCCCGGGTGGAAGTCTGCAGCAGTGCTACCACTCTTGACAAGATGACATCTGAGGAAGAAGCTGCAGCTATGGCTGCAGCGCCACAACCCTGTGACCCCACTCCAGAGGAGGGTCCAGCAGGGCACCAACTTCTCTCGTCTCCAGCAGACCTCGAATAACCCAGACCTCTGACAGCCCCGCGTGCTGACAGAGTACAGCGCAGGTCCCAGCTATGGCCGGCGCTCCGAAGGTCTTCTATGTCTGTCTCCCGCAACGCTGAGCCGTCACCACTTCCGGTTCACGCATAGCGCAGCAGCGATGTACTCGGTACCAACTGCCAAAAGCCCTGAACCGATGTGCCTAACCTATCTACAGACTACTCTAGTCTAGACTCGACCTAGCCCGGACTGACTGACTGACCAGTACCGATTCTATTTCGGCCTCTAGGGCCTCTCCCGACCCAGCTATAGGCTATAGGACCATCTATCAGCTTAGGCCTTTAGGGCCTGTCTGTCCTAGGGTAGCCCGGGTCTGCTATTCGCAGTTAGGAAAGCTGTAGGAAATTCAGTTAGTACGGGCCTGTATTTTCCCGTATTTACAGATATGTCCCTCACGAATTTTCCTTACAGGCAGGTCACTCGGTTAGCCCTCAGCCAAACAAAATTACAAATCTATCCTACCTATGGTACAGCCTCGACAGAGAGAAGCTACAGGCGACCAGAAACATAACAGTTGGTATCGGAACCGATCGGTCAGTCAGTCCGGGCTAGGTCGAGTCTAGACCGGTCAGTCAGTCCGGGCTAGGTCGAGTCTAGACTAGAGTAGTCTATGGATAGGTTAGGCACATCGCTTCAGGGCTTTTGGCAGTTGGTACCAAGTACATCGCTGCTGCTCTACGCGTGAACCGGAAGTGGTGACGGCTCAGCGTTGCGCGAGACAGACATAGCCAGACCTTCCGAGCGCCGGCCATAGCTGGGACCTGCGCTGTACTCTGTCAGCACGCAGGGCTGTCAGAGGTCTGGGTTATATGAGGTCTGCTGGAGGCGCGAGAAGTTGGTGCCGTGCTGGACCCTCCTCCGGAGTGGGGTCACAGGGTTGTGGCGCTGGTCCCAGCTATGGCCGGCGCTCCGAAGGTCTGGCTATGTCTGTCCCTCGCAACGCTGAGCCGTCACCACTTCCGGTTCACGCGTAGCGCAGCATCGATGTACTCGGTACCAACTGCCAAAAGCCCTGAACCAATGTGCCTAAAGACTACTCTAGTCTAGACTCGACCTAGCCCGGACTGACTGACCGATCGGTACGGATTCTATTTCGGCCTCTAGGGCCTCTCCCAACCCGGCCATAGGCTATAGGACCGTCTATCAGCTTAGGCCTTTAGGGCCTGTCTGTCCTAGGGGTAGCCCGGGTCTGCTATTCGCAGCTAGGAAAGCTGTAGGAAATTCAGTTAGTACGGCCTGTATTTCCCCGTATTTACAGATATGTCCCTCATGAATTTTCCTTACAGGCAGGTCACTCGGTTAGCCCTCGGCCAAACAAAATTACAAATCTATCCTACCTATGGTACAGCCTCGACAGAGAGAGGCTACCGGCGACCAGAAACAGCAAGTCGTTGCATATGTCCCACTTCGGGAGGTCCCAGTTCTGGTTTCGAGTGTACATGGATCCCTGCCATCCGATCTGAAAATCTCCCGGCCCTAGTGTGACCAGGTTGGAAAAAAAACACAAAACATAAACTAAACCCCCACTAGAGGGTCACCGCCCCAGGTCAGCCTGTCACAGCCAGAGACAGGCCCGTCCTTTGAAAAAAAAAAAAAAAAAAAGAGAAAAGAAAACTGTCTTCTCCTCCTATATGGGGGACAGCTGTATTCACCTCGTTCTTTTCTTCTCTCAATATTTTCACAGGCCGTTGTGAAATCTCTGCCAACGCGGCCTGTGTTTTACATATGATTTTTCTTTGTTAACAGGAGAATCATACTGACCATGTAAAACAAAGACCCTTAATACAGGCGATCCTAAGTGCAATGAAGTTGCCTCTACCAAGAAAATTTGGGAACGCCTTTCCCCGCCTCACACTACCTACCTACATACCCTGTGCTATACAACCGTGTATCAAGCATGTCAGAACTCTATGACTATACACCAGAGGGTAACAGCTAGGAGGAACCCACCTCTATGTCCATCCACTCTACTCTGTGCAGGGTGTAGTATGTAGGCTTCTAACCCCTAGCAAAGGGATGGCCGGATTGCCGAATCCTGCCAAGACCAGCCAGAGAGGGGGGGGACGCCAACTATCTCAGCTGGTGAACTCAAAGCGTCCCCCAGGGGACCATGGGGAATCGGACGGACGACGTGGCCCTCAGACCTCCTGAATGCCACTTATGTGTTCTACCAACTAAGCTAGGTCGCTGGCCCTCAGACCGACCCCTCCATTCGGTTACCAGTAGCCAAAGGGCATTTTTCCTGAAGAGTTAAGAAAAGCGAAAGAAGAACAACAATGACGAACAACAACAACAACTACGGGAAGTGGGGAAGCAGTGTGAAGAAGAGATGATGATGATTTTTTTTTGCTTTTGATTTGTTTCATGATGATGATGATGATCTGAATGCTACTTATGTGCTCTGCCAACTAAGCTAGGTCACTGGCCCTCCATTCGGTTACCGGTAGCCAAAGGGCATTTTTCCTGAAGAGTTAAGAAAAGGGAAAGAAGACCAACAACGACAAAGACAATGACGAACGACAACAACAACTACGGGAAGTGGGGAAGCAGAGTGAAGAAGAGATGATGATGATTTTTTTTTGCTTTTGATTTGTGTCATGATAATGATGATGATGATGATGATGATGATGATGATGGTCACCATCATCATCATCATCATCATCATCACCATCCTCCAAGAATTGACTGCTCTGTCTCCTAACCACCCGTGTACAGATTCTGAACTGACATGGGTTCGCTGCACGAGTTTAACACAACTATGTTTCAATTTTCTAGCCGTCCAGTTTGCTCCTGGTCAGACATGACCAGGTTCCTTGGACGGGACTACGAGAAGGAGTGTGAGCCAACCACTGCAAAGACCCTTGGCGCAACGAATCATGGTGTATGGCCTTCGTATTGCACATTCCAATGGTTTACCAGCGCTCCTGGATTACACAAGGGAGCATTGGCCAACCAGTGGAAGTATCTTTGGACCGTTTTTCATAGCCTGGAGAGAAACAGAAAATAATAAAATATATATACAAATCACATGCTTGTTAGCCTTGTCAGCGTACACATTCCACAGCCATGGATAGGTGTTTTGTAAAGGTTGATGTTGCATGTTCCGCATACCTCAAAACATCAGATTTCACTGACGCAAGTGTGCGCCTTGGGTCATTCAACCGCCACATAATTGACGGAGTCACTCCTTTAGCTGCGATGCCACTGTCAATCATCCATCATAAGGAGAAGAAGCCGCAGCGGCAGAAAAACAGAAAAGAAAAGAAGAGAACAGAAAAGAAAAACAGCATGCTGTCTGTTAGCGGAGTGATACATTTCTCACAATCGGGCCGAGTGTCTTGAGCGCTTGACGCTCGACGACTGGGTTGACCCAAAGTTTGACCATAGGTAAGACACACACTGCAGGGACAGGCTACCTCCAGTGTTACATCCATCATGTTGGGAATACACTACCTACACCCTGTAAGCTTTGGGAGAAAAGCTTAGGGATGGAAAGAACAAAATATAATCAGGCGAGAGAAGCGTCATCACTGAGGGGAAACCAAGTCGATTGTCCACAATTTGGACCTTGAAGTTTGCAGGGCACGCATGAAGCTCCAAGTTTGACCTTCAACGTCCAGACCCCCATTTCTAATGGTTAAGCACCAACTTGGCTTCCATGTCCATCTGCATAGTTAAAGTACGCAGACAATGCATAGTACCCTTCGCTGTGCTCGCCAGACAGGTGCATTCTCACCACTGGCCCATTTCGTGCAATCTTTTCCAGGATTCCACCTTTTAGCCGTTGCCCAACTCATCGTGTCAAGTCAACGAGTCAACAATGACACAACTGGCCCATTTCGTGCAATCTTTTCCAGGATTCCACCTTTTAGCCGTCGCCTACCTATTGTGTCCAGTCAATGAGTCAACAATGACACGTGTGAGAGACGAGGAAGAGATATCGACAGAGACAGAGACGGAAGGAAAGAGAGGGATCGAGGAGCATATACCGAGCAATGTGGAAGGATAGAGATCGATAAAGAGGGTACGGTGCATATGAAATGGGGAAGAGAAGAATAGGGAAGGGCATATCGGGGTGGGGACATGGAGGAGAGACGAGGAGAGATGGAGGGACGATGGAGGAGAGATGGAGCAAGCAAGAAGCAGAAATCAGATCAAGTTAAAGACGACAGGGACATAAGGGGAGGATGGATGACGGTTGAGGATAACTGGGAAAGATGTGGAGGGAGTGGTAGAGCCGTCAAGGACAGGAGCCACTAGAGAGGCATGGAGGAAAAGAGAGGGATAGAGGACAATATACAGCGCAGTGTGGAAGGAAAGACGGACAGAATTGCAATATGATAGTGAGGGTATGGAGTGGATATGAAATGGGGAAGAGAAGAATAGGGAAAGGACAAATTGGGGTGGGGAGATGAGGAGAGACAAGGAGAGATGGAGGGAAGATGGAGGAGAGGTGAAGCGAGCAAGAAGTAGAACTGGGATAAACAGAAACGACAACATGGACATGAAGAGAAGGGATGGATGAAGATAAAGGATAAATGGGAAAGATGTGGAGGAAGTGGTTGAGCCACGGAGGACGGGAGATATCAGAGAGGCATGGAGGAAGACAATTCACAAGAGAGCGATCAAAGGACAAAATTTGGCTTGGCTCTGTACACAGCAAGAGACAATGAACGAAAATACCTTTCATTTTCCTCCTCTCACATTCACATAATGATGTTAAAACTTGAGACCTGATTTATGTGTTTCCAACTTTGCAATATCCACACAGGGATTCCCCTTAGCACACAAGGAGGGTACTCTCTGCATCATAGCTACGCTTCAAACCCAATGGAACACAGTGACAACTGCCAAGGTTTTCATACAAAATGAAAGGTAGAAGCCAGCATCAGGTGTCCTTAGGGACATCCGTTAAAATTGGAACGATACAGAGAAGATTAGCATGGCCCCTGCGCAAGGATGACACGCATAAATCGAGAAATGGTCCAAATTAAAAAAAAAAAAAAAAAAAAAAGAAGCCAGCATCAGGTTGTGGAAACACATTATCATAGAGAACATGAAGACGATTTTCAAGGGCCAGTTCCAAGGATGACACGCATAAATCGAGAAATGATCCAAATTACTAAATTAGGAAAACGAAAAAAAAAAAGAATCCAGCATCAGGTTGTGGAAACACACTATTATAGAGAACATGAAGAGGATTTCAAGGGCCAGTTCCGAGAAACCCATTCCTCATCTCTCACCATCCCCCACCTCCCACCCTCCACCTCTTCTCCCTCACAACCCTTCTTCCAACCTTGCAGAGACTCAAGCCTCCAATCAAGACCAAAAACTGCCAGCCATGCCTGCAAGCCATCTTCAGCTCCAACATCTACGGTGTGCACGGCCACCCTTCCATTAGACATTACTTTCACAAAGAAAAAGAAAACAAAGTTACAATTTCTGCAAACAGTCCTTCGGGACATCCGTTAAAATTGGAACGACACACAGAAGATTAGCATGGCCCCTGCACGAGGATGACATGCATAAATCAAGAAATGGTACAAAAAATAAAACAAAATAAATGCAAACATGATTATGCGATTGATACCTGCACAGAATGTCAGCAGCATAATTTGATGGAGCGCAGATACACATCCTTGTGGAATCCAGCTTCAACACTTGGACAGCGCATTCCACCATCTGAAACAACATTTATCCTGTTCAATTTCAGTGCAAGTCTCTCAGACAATTGGAAAGACCGTTCCGTTCCCATAGTCAAAAAACTCAGCACGGTAATCAAGTGGAACTTATAATTATTAAATTTATATTAATAAAGTTAATGAACCAAAAATTACTATTGCCAATCAATAATTAGTTAGTCGGGACTCTGGAAAGAGAGCTGAGATGCACCAGGGCTGTCCAGTTCTGAGCAGGGACAGAGGGTAGGGGTACTGGGACGCCCGGGACCTACTACTATCTGAATGCCACCCAGCCCCAAGAACTAATAACCAGGAAAAAAAAAGACGAAAAGATTAAAATATGAATCGGGTGGAGGTGCAGAGCATTGAGCCAGACCTGCCTCCAGCGGTGACCTGGCGTAGGGCTCTTTGGGTTCAGGAGTGACGGTCCAAACCTTGGGGTAACCCACAGGTTCACACCTACAGGAAGACAAGCTCCAAGAAAAAGCGGGGAATGTGCACATCATACGTTACCCTCCCCCTCACAATTTCCGTATTCCCACTGGAGTCACACACGGCAACTGCAAGACCCGAGAATCCCCATTGGTCCCATTGGGACTCAAAACCCCATGCCAGAAAACCCCAGGATACCAGAACCCCATGATCCCGAAACACAGGGCACCCCAGAGCATACTCACATCACTTTGAACTCCCCCAAATGCCCTCCACTACACCTGCAGAAATATAGTCCTTGGGACTCCATCGAGCTCAGGGAAAACAACCCCCTGATCGTGGGAAATGGACCCTCAGGAACAGCCCCTTTCCCCCTGATCCCCCACCAAGGGCGCCGTGCCCTGGCTGTGACCCCCAAGGACAGCATCCCCTGCAACTACCCCCTTGAGCCCCATCTCTCCCCTACATTTCACTCAGGAGCTATCCCCAGTCCCTTACCCGTTGCTGACCGTCAGCAAGCTCCTCCCCCCCCCCCCCCCCCCCCCCCCACACACACCCCACCAGGAACAGCAGCATGGCCCTGGGAGTGACAACTCTCGGCTTTCCTGCACCATACATGACTGCAAGTGTGTATCACACCCCTGCTTCTAGGTGAATTAATTCCTCAACAAATCATAAATTAACTCTGTTAAGATCTGGGTGCCCTGGGGTCTCGAAGGGCCCTCTGGGTTCCACCTGAACAGGACTGAAAGGCAAAGCCTAGGTGATCCTTTGAGACCACATGCCACCCAGATCTTAACCGAGATAATTTGCTAATTCTTATTAATCAACTAGTTCACCTGAAGGTAGGGTTGCCATAGTACAACTGCTGCACAGCCCCTCAGGAGGAGATTGTCATGGCAGTTACACAAAACACAAAAACGTTGTGCTTGGACGAGTTTGGCGGTGCTAGATATGGAAGCACAGTTTGGGAAAGGGTGCTGGTGGGTGGGAGTTGGTAAGTCTACGAAATGTAATATTTAATATTCGTAGCGAGGTTGCGTACTAGGTTATGCACAACCGGGTGCTACACACCCAGCCCTGCCACATCACACTTGTGCTTTGGGCACAATACGCTCCGTCGCAAGTCATTCTCTTTCCATGGTCCCGACGACAATGGTGTGTGCCACTCCTGGTCTAACTCAAGCAGGCACTGAGCTTTGGCCATGGCATGATGAGCCCTCCTCAATCCATAAGCCCTGAAGGTGGATGTGCCTAAGGTAAAAGAACTGGAGTGCCACTACACACGATCTTTCTGCCACCTTGTACATCTTTGAGCGATTAGAACGCATGCCACGAGGTATGATTATGGCCTGGTCACTTACAGTCATAGTCTTGCCAGTCCCTGGCGGTCCAAAGACGACGTACGGGCCACGTCCAGGACAACCTTGAACAAATTTGGCCACAGCCAGCCTCTGCTCCTTGTTCAGCTTGGTATTTACCTGCATTAACAGTGGGTTGCACATCACAGAAATACAGAACAAAAGTGTCATCCACAATACTGAATAGACTTCCTTTTCAGCTAACTTCATTTGTAAACAGAGTGCGAACAGTGGGTTGAGTGTTGCGTGTGGGACATCCAGGGTGATCCAGAATGCGAACAGTGAGTTGTGTGGGCGCCCAGTCACCATAGCCAGTTGAAGAGAACTCATATCTGGTTACGATATCTTAAGTACTGTCAGGGCGCATGTCGCCAGTTGCTGTATCGCTGTTTGCATGCAAGACAAGTGTGAATAATCGGAGTGTGATTGCAAT